CTTACAAGAGAAAATATTATTCGACTTGGCAACCAAACAGAATTTTCACAGCCTTTCAACATTTTAACTCATTTCCTGCCAGCCTCGAATGCAACTTAAATCAATTTACGTTTCGCTTTGACTCTGTGCAGGATGCGGATTTTATTTTTTTATTTTTATTTTTCACCCAGCTCCACTTTTCAGGACGCCATATAATTTGCAATGCAAACAGGACTCACAGAACTTTTCCATACGTGCGGGGAAATGCGTACATCGAAGCAAAAATGCTTATATATATTGGCAGAATTTCAACTTTGACAGACGATGACGTAGAGTTTCTTTTGTGTCGTTAATAATAATAATAACAGCAACAGCAGCGGCAGCGTGGGGGAAGCTGTATAATGAAATTTATTTCCTTCGAAGGAATCAGGCATTTAATACGCTCAGACAGCCCCCCCAAGAGAAAAACCAAAAAAGAATCTTTACTTCAAAAGCTTCAATGGCTAAATGAAAATTCCTGGGATGTCTAAGTGAATTGGCCTTGGAATGGGATTAGAGGCGGCTTTTTTCCACCACCCAATCATCATTATCGGCGAGCGTAAAGTGTAATTTATAGATACTAAGAACTCTGGCCAACAGGTTGCCAACTGGTTTTCCATATGCTTTGTTACAACAAGACCCAAAGCGGAAGCGAATTCAACAAATTTCATTTACCAACAGTCCTTGACAGACACGCAGACAGGTGCAACTGGACAGGTGAGTACCAATTAGCACATTACATCGAAAGAAAATCTATGCAAAGGAGGGGGAGTAGTGTCGCTGCGACTTGAGTTTCGTTACTTAGATGAAGAGGCGCTTCGCATAAATCGCATAGATATGTTAATTAGTCTCCGAACGTAAACACATTTTACGCTGTTCGTTCGCTTTGAATTTGTTTAGAATTAATTTCAGCTTCATTTCATTTGCATAAATTGTGTGAATGTTTAATGGACTTGTTTGCCGTACGCCGAACGAAAGCAATCAAAATAGAATCGAAATAAATAAAAGCGACAGCGGAAAGTAAAAGTTAATTATCGCATAAGACTAGAATCATCAATTGGGGTCTGCCTCTCGTCTAGAATTGGGTCATTGGAGTCCGGGAATCAATGAATGAATGGCAATTGAAATGGCTTTCACAATTCATGATAAGATTTCAAAATGGTTTTTGTGGTAATACGAGAAGCTACAAATAATTGTGAAACTCTTCTTGTCCACGGCTGACTCTTGACTTTTCTGGCTTTCCATGTTGATTACGCATACGCCTAGAGTCGTCTTAAATTGAGGAAAATGTCTCAAAATACCCAAGACAGATAAGCCGCTGCTGGCAAGAAGATGGAAGAGGTCGTAAAAAGGGCGAAATTGAAAGAAACGGGCCTCGAAACGAAATATGAACTGCTGGCACCGACAGACAGCCTGACAGAGCACCAATCTTAAACCAAAAACCCAAGATAAGTGGAAGCTGAAATTAAAGCTGCCCAAGAATCGGATTCGGAATCGGTATAGGCTGCTGAGACAGCAGCATCAGAAACGGAAGCTTTGTCGTTCAGCCAACTGATTAAATTTATTTATTATGTCACTCTCCCCCTGCCGTTGTCTCCGATTTAAGTGAATGGATGATGGGCCCCGGTCCCCTCCTGAAAAGAGTGCTGGCTTTATGGTCTGTTCTAGCTCTTAAGTCCCATAATGACAGAGCAATCGTTGGCTTAAGTCTCTCCCCTCCTCGCGATGCCTTATCGATGGAGGGCAAATTGAATTTGGACTGCTTACTTATCGGCTGAGCCAGTTTCGCACTCAGTCTTTTGTTTGACGATTGTCGCTTATCGTCTCCATCGAACACCGTCGAATCTCTGCAAATGATACAAGATATCGTGGCGGTCCCTTGTGCCAAATATTTCACAGATAGCCCAGAAGTGGAACCAAAAAAAAGGGAGGAGGAGCAGCAGCAGCAGCAGTCGAAACAGCACCCAACCCGAAACACAAGTACGTGCCTCGAGTAATGTTTGTATTTTATTTTATTTATTTTTTTTTTTTAGGAGGAGACCACTTTCGCCGGTGTAAAAACTGTGATTTTCACGGGGAACCGCTCTGGGTCGGGTTACGTGGCTTACTCTTTGGGCTCTGTGTGTGTCACAGGGCGATAAAAATTAGCTCGCCGAGCTGCGGTGGCGTTCTTTTGGGTCTAATCCACGTCTCATGTTTACACGTGCCGGCACTTGCCGACTGTCCATTTCTCGATGGGTTTCTCTACGATGGGTTAGGTTCTCTTATCAACGAAACCTGAGCGGCTGCTTCATAATTTCGGTTCAATTGGTTCGACTCGGGGCTTTTGGAATGGTTCCACGCTCCCCGGACATGACTCAATGCGGACATTAATCATGCATCTCAAATATTCCAGCAACTAAGCGAACAAAGGGTGTTAGAATACTTTTTGTTTCAGCATCGCTGAGCAGAGATTTAAGAGAGGGAGCAGAAAAAAAGCGAAACCACACAATAACAATAAAGAAACCAAACGAAAATTACTTTTCTACTAATTGCAACTCTGGAACAACTGCTGAGGTCATCAGGTGGAGACGGGCGGAGAGATCATCATTTGGCCAACAGTTCAAAAACAATGCACAGGAAATTCGCATTTACTCAGTGCCAGAGAAAAAGCCAACAATATAAACCAACAAAATCGCTATGCAGCATCAACATTTCCCTTTTTGCCATTTTCGGGCGAAGGAATTTTCACAAAGGTCTGCATTGAGTAATGATGCCAGGGGGTTCGGGCCACAGGGGTGATGCCAAGCCAGAGCAATTGCTTATTTTTCAGATTGAAATACTTCTCTGCAACGACGAACCCCAGGCTTCTCCCAGGGTTTAAGCAAGTGAAATATAGCTAGGAAGGAAATGGCCATTTTATCAGCAACATTTCCTTCGATTTTCTTGCGCTGGATCCTTGTGGGAAATGCTAACAATTTTAAGTTAACCAACTAATTCGATTATTTTAATTAGGTAAGAGGAGCTGACACATAACAATTAAGACTTGGCAATCAAAATTGAGCTCATATTTGCACAACGATTGGGTAAATTTCAGTTTCCTTAAACTGAAATGTTTTGTCTTGTTAGATTTGTTTAAGTAACAAGAGCTGCCTTATTGTGTTAAGAAAATATATCTGTATAATTATTTAAATAAATAATAACCAATCTAAGAGAAAACCAGCAAGAGTAAATCATTAAAGCCCCTCTTCAACTTGGGTTAATTATTTGAATCAATACCAATCGGTCGGCATGAGTAGAAACCCCTTATTACTGCCGCTACTTCCTCCAAATTACCCCAAAATCAATGGGATCATATGCCTGAGCTGAGTCGCCAATTGACGTGGCTGCTAACCCCATTGCATAATACCTGACAAATGCAATTAGAGGCAAAGCCACCCAACGCAATGCTGATGCTGCTGCTGCTGCTGATGATGATGACGGCCTCAAGTGAAAAACACTCACGCAAACACGCGACGCACTTTGGGTGGCTCCATTGCGATGGGCTTGGGTTCGGGTTCGGGTATGGCTACAGGGTACTTTAATAAAGTGCAGTCCAAATTGTGGGCCATCAGGCAGCCTTGTATTTGTAGTTGTTGTTGCTGGTGGTGATGGTGGTGCAGTGCTGGCAATGATGCGGTGGTGCTGGTGGCAGTTGCAGCCACCGTGGCGTCAATTATCGCCGCTGTACGCAAAGTGGGGCAGGTAAATAATAATAAAAAAATAAAAAAACGCGCCCAAAATGCAGTCGTCAGGCTCGAGAAAAAAAGCACTTCATTGTCAAATGAGCTTAAACACACGCCCCCTCGGCCCGGATTTACCCGCCGTATAGAGACGGCCCCCTTCGCAACGCTGACCCCTCGTCACCGTCTCCTTATCCATATCCACATTCATCTCCATCTCCGTATCCATCGCCATTCTCATTTTCATTTGTGCAGCACTCTTTGCTGCGTTTTCGTTTTCATTTTTATTGTTTTTGCAGAGCTCTGTTTGGATACCCTAACAGGAAGGGCTTAAGTTTTGGCTTAAAGTTGATAAAAGATGAAAAAAAGGGTATACAAATTAATTATTATGCTCATTCTCTCTGCAAAAATATATCTTAAACTATAAAATAGAGAACTCACGAATTCGACTTGATAATAAAACAACTTCTTCTTGGGTGTTTTTGTCTTTTTTGCTGCAGTTTTGTTCGCCGTTTTCACGCCTCACTTGCCGCCTTGTTTGCCTCGTTCGCTGATTTGCTGATTGATGGCGACGTCTGCAATTGAGACGGGGGACTGGGCAACTGGAAGGGAGACTGGAGCGGAGACTGCTGGGGGGATGTGAAACCCGGCAGAGACCTGGGATCCGTCTCCGACGACGACTCCGCGCAGGTGTCGCCGCCTAATTAAATGAAGGCAACGCTCACGCATGCGTAACCTGCAAACACTCCCATTGGCAGGCCCCCTGCCCTTCGCCGGTGCATTGTTAAGAAAATGGGTCAATATGCAATTATTGCACACTTTTTTTGCGCCCAGCTTCGTTTGCGTCACTTGCGGGCAGAGTGTAGGGTATCGAGGGGCGAGGTGAGTTCGCAATAATCATAATATGGCTACTTCACTTGGCACAGCAAAAGCAATCCAGTCGTGGCCTCCGCACTGTTGATTTTGTTAATATTTGCCCGTCGGCCCGGCCTTCTGCCCCAGCTGTTCCCCTGACTCGACTGACTCGTCTGACTCTCCCATTTCGCGGAACTGGAGAAGGAATCGATGGATGCATCCATGCATTTGCGGAAAAGCACCAAGTTCTATGGGGTAATGAGGCGAGCAGAGAGAGTTTGCTGTGCTCCAATTTCTTCCACTGGGAAACTTGAAATTGATTTTGGGATTTAAGCGCAGAAACTATAGTTAGAAATACATTTAAAGTTATTTTTCTTAATTAAATTTGTATTGTCTTATTTCCCTACTTCTCTTCCCCTTTCAGTTTTATGTCTAAAGTCAATCAATAAAATATGTTCATACAATAAGGAATGTACTATACACACAAAATCGACCGTACTTTCGGCCTTTCTCCATCCAAATTGGACCTTCTTTAAACCTGTCAATATGAGGGCCCTTCTAGGTGCAAGAGTACTCGTTAGGAATGTAAGTTCAAAGGAATCCATAGCCTATCAAAAAAATAATAAACAAATGAGAAAACCCACAGTGCCGGGTACCCACCTACTGGGTTAGATGGTACAGCAGTGAGATGAAATTTCTGTCTCCGAAAGAGATCTGCGAGAGGGCCAGGAAGGCCATCGAAGCTAAGGCCAGAAAGTCGACGAATTTAGCTCGCCCACGGCCAAGCGATGCCAAGGAATCAGAAACTGCTGCTCTGGAAATTTTATGTCGAGCATTGGCAAACTCTTCAGGGTCCTCTTCCTGCACTGCCAAACCCATGAAACCATCAACAGGAGGCTCAAATACTCAAAAAGCGAAATGTCAATCGAATCAATTGAGCAATGATCCACCGAATATTCCTCTGATTCCCCCTGAAAACATAAAGCAGGAACCTAACCATCACCTAGAAAGAGCCAAGTCAGAAAAGCTAGAAATATTTAACTGCAAGACCTGCCACGAAGATAGCGCAGGCGAAGACCTAGAAACAACCGGCTTGAGTTTAGTTAACTGCAAAAATCACAAATCAGTCTTAAAAGAAGAGCAGTCGACAAGTGCTGATCCCTCAAGGCAAACGGCCTGTGTAGCTCCAAAAGCAAATCCTCAAAAATGTGAAGAATCGGGTAATTTTCCTCTGGCTAAGACAGATGTTTGTTTAAGTCAAGGGAAACCTCAAATTAAAGATAATACTGAAAAGCCGCAAGATATACTCCCGCTTAAAGAAGCTCAAGCAGAGAGCTCTCAATCTGCATCCCCTTTTCCATTGGGGAGAAATCCCTGTAGAGACGGCAACCGAAGAGATGACGAGATACCTAAGGGTACAGCCCTGAATCGAAGCTTCTGCCCTGAAGAACACATAAAAGCCGTACCTTGTCCTAAAATTAAAATAAAGGCTAGCTGCAATAAAGAAAAAACAAAGGCTAGTACACAGAATATGCTCATGAAACATCCTGTTAAGGCAACTACCAAAAAAAGTGTTAACCCCAAGAGTGTGTCTCAAGGAAATCTGAAAAGTGACGAATCCAAGGCCAAATTTCAAGTAAAGGCTTCACAAGAAGTTGCTGTTAAGCCAAAGGAAAATAAAGTTAAACCAGTTAGTCCTCCAGATGATCCACCTCCGCTGCCAGGTTCAGAATTTTCGTTTCCCTTACAGTCGGCTTTTCCATTAGGAAGGAATCCCTGCAGGGATGGACCCCGAGGAGACAGCGAAAAGCAGCTCAAAGTAGAGGGCAAAGAATGCGAAGCAAAGGGCAAAGAAAAAGTCCAAAAACCTGAGAAGAAAACTGAGAAAAAACCCGAAAATGAGCCAAGCAAAGGAAAAGCCAACGAATCCTTGCCAACGAGTTCTTGCCAAGGAAGGCCACAAATTGACGCACCCAAGGCCATCGCAAAACCAAAGCATCAGAAAGTTAAACAAGATGATCCATCCAAACCAGCACCTCAAACGCAGGGTACTAATGAATGGAAGAAACCACCGCTGCCAAGTTCCGAATTTTCGTTTCCCTTACTCTCGGCTTTTCCATTGGGAAGGAATCCTTGCAGGGATGGACCCCGAGGAGGCAACGAAAATCAGCTCACAGTGGAGGGCAGAGAATCCGAAGCAACGTGCAATGAAACGGTCCAAAAACTTGAGAAAAAACCCGAAAAAGAACCATGCCAAGAAAACACTATCAAAGATCCCTGCCCTTCTTGGAGGGCAACGTCTCAAATTCCTACCAATAAAATAAAAGCCTATACGGATCATCAAGAGAGTTGTACTGGCTTCAAACCTTCTGAACCTGTACCAACGAAACCCCTTAAAGAAGCTTCCGAAAAAGTAATTTCTGAAGCTCAAAAATCTACGGCCTCAATTGCAAGCAAGGATGTATCAAAGAATCTTGCAGCCTCCGAAAAAGTTATTTCTGAAGCTCAAAAGTCTTCGGCATCAATTGCAAGCAAGAAATTATCACAGCATCCGAAAAAGAAATTCTCTTTTAAAGAAGACACCTTTAAGGAACCTGAAAAATCGCCCGATCTTAAGGAATTTCCAGTGCCTCAACTGAAAGACACCATCACGGCTTATCTGGAGAGTATTGAGCCCCTTCTCACAGCCAAAGAGTTCAAAAAGGAACTGAAGCTGACCGAAGATTTCGAGAGGGAAGAGGGCCAGGAGCTGCAGCAATTGCTGGAAGCGGCAGCCGGTAGTTGCAGCAACTGGTTGACTCCCCGGTGGACCCAAGCCGCCTACTTAGGCTATCAAGCGCCCGTAACTGCCTTCACTAGTCCAGCATTGTCCCTCCCAGTGCAAAACTTCAGTAATCCCAAGGACGGCTACATCTTTACGGCCCGAGCGATTCGCGCCATTTGCGAGTTCAAGGAGCTTGTGGATCAAAACAAAATCCCCGTGTTCAAAATGGGTGATAACGATCTGGACAATAGCCAGTATTGCAAGATCTTTGGCACGGTTCGTAAGCCAGGGAGATTTTGCGATACCATCGAGCAGTACAGTGATTCCAATTACGTGGTGATCGCCTACCGAAACAATGTTAGTTCTAGAAAGGATCTCTTCAAGCTCCAGCTAACTAATCCAACTGAATTTTCGCATTCTAGTATTTTCAGTTACCCATCCGTTCGTCTTCTGGAGGTCTGTTGAGTGTTACAAGTTTAGTGGATGAACTGGAGGCCATCGTCAACTGTCCTTTGACGAAGGGCGAACCTTATGGCCTGCTGACCCACGACAATCGTGGCAACTGGGCCGAGGCCTATAAGGCGCTGTATTGTCAGCCTGGTAATGCGGATACCCTAGATGCTATCGAGCAATCTCTGTTCTTGGTCTGTCTGGATGAATGTGTGCCCGTGCCCAAGGGACAGGAATGCATTGTCCAGGCCCAACAACTTCTACATGGCGGAGGACTGCAAGCGAACAGTGCCAATCGTTGGATGGACAAGACTATCCAGCTAATAGTGAATCCCAACGGACTGGCAGGGTTCTGCTATGAGCATTCACCAGCCGACTGCCAACCGCTGGCCATGCTGATGGACTTTGTGGTTGATAAAATGTATGTAAATATAATTTTAATGATTTTTCTTTTAGAATTTACTATTTTATTCCAGAAGCAAACATGAGCCCGAGTCCGAGGCCGACTCCAACGACAGTTCATGCTTGGCCAGGCATCTGAGATTCCATCCAAAAAACGAATACCTCAACCTGTGGCTCCATGTCGCTATGCGCAATATCGCAAAAATCGCCGGCCAGCTGCAGATACACGTCTTTGAGTACAAGTGCCATGGAAAGGACTTCATCAGGGCGCAGGGCCTCAATTCTGATAGCTACATCCAGATGGCTTTGCAACTGGCTTACTACAATATGCACCAGACTTTACCCGCCCAGTACGAGTCGGCACATTTGAGGATGTTCATCGATGGACGAACCGAGACCATACGCTCCACCTCTAACGAATCAAAAGACTTTGTCCTTGCCATGAATTCCCGGAATGCCCCGGAAAAACGAAAGTTAGTAGCACTTCAATGCGCGGTGGATTTCCATGAACAGCTGGCAAAACGTGCGCTCAGAGGCAAGGGCATCGATCGCCATCTTTTTGGCCTACAACAGATGGCCGTAGAGAATGATCTGCCAGTGCCGGAGTTTTTCAAATCCAAGGGATTCGTGCGATCCATCACCTACCAGCTGTTCAGCTCTCAAGTGGCCACCTCGCACAAGTCCTTCATGGTCTGCGGTCCTTTGACTTGCGATGGTTATGGTTGCTGCTATAATCCCCAGGAGAATAATATAACCCTTGCCATCACCGCCTGGCAATCATCGCTTACCGTAAACCCCGAGCAATATGGAAAGGCCATTAAGAAATCTCTGGACAGCATGAGGAAGCTGATCCTGAAAACGGAAGGGAAAAGCGTAGGCGAGCATCCTTGCCATTGCGAGAAGATTTGGACCTAGAAGGAACCCTTACTCGGGGATACATTTTTTGTTATTCCGTTTTATTCTAAAGAAAAAACTCAGTCTTTATATTTTTCAGTTGCCGTAATCAAGTCGCTTTAGCTGGGCTTTCTCGGGTTCAGGGTCGCCGAAATACAAATTCGGATTACTCATGCCCCAATCATGCTCACCTTTGACAAGAAATTAGCCAGAGACTCGTTAAACTCTCTTCGCAGACCGTTGGCGATCAAGAATGTGAGCCTGACTCAATGAAAGAGAGCTCAGAACAGAGATCGCCCACGAAAAGCACTCACTCCGCTCACTTGCTAATTAATAACTCAGCCAAGTCAGGGATATATATATATATATATAATGAGGATTTGGGGGAATATTGTGTAGGTATTAGTTAATCCATACAACCTTCAAAACGAGCAAGAAATGGGTAGGAACAATTTCATCAGAGAAGTGAGTCAGTAGGTGAATAATTGGCATCTATGTATTAACCAGTAGGGGAAGACATTTCCATTGAACCCCTTCCATTCGCTGCACCACTGACCCACTTGCCTCATGAATGCGGCGCCTTCTTCTCTGCGGGGCCAAAGAGTCAACCCCCTTATACCCCCTATTCCTCCATTATCATCTCATATTTGCCCCGCCAGTGGTTATGCAACTTTTGCAGATGCAATTCGCGTTCTTCTGCCAGTTTGCTCTCGGACTCTAGATTCTCTGTGCTCGGTTCTCGGTTCTCTGTTCTCTACTCTTCCTTCTCTGATCTTTTTTCTCTGTTCCCTGCTCATTGCAATTTTATTGCTAAATTAAGTAATTGGTACAAGAAGCTGCCTTTGCCAGACCCCTCCAACCCGGCTACCCTTCTATTTGCCTTTGTGCGAGCGTCGCAAGTGTATCTGTATCTGTATCTATTAGACCTCGTATCTGCATCTGTGCATTGGATGAGGAGTGTGCTCTGTGTTCTGCACTGCCTTTCGCTTCTTTGGTATTTCACTTCTGCTTTCCATTGCGAATGTGTTCTGCAGATGAGCGCACAACGGAGGAGGGAACCACATACATAGTATGTACAGACCATATCTGTATATCTGCATTTGGCATTCTGCTCTCTCGTTCCAGGGAATTGCGACTTATTTTCGGCCGAATCTCTGGCATATCGCATTGCTGTCATTAGCCAAATTGCAGGCATTCTAATTGGCACACTCCGCCGCGCTCCGATCCGATTGGAGCCACTTTAGTTGAGTTCACCTCGGACGAGTTCACTGCCGGAGGAAAGGCTGCGTGTGAATCACACGCCACTGATTCCGAAGGAGATCTCTGTCCGGGGGCGTGGCCTGCCTCTCACGTGCTGCTCGTCATCCCCGATGGCCACAATCTGATCTCATTTTAATCGCAGCTAATGAATGTCAACGCTAATTGCCACTTGAGTGCCGCCACTCAGTGGGGTGGGGTCGCCGGGGCCGGGTCCGGGGGTGGACCCAAAAGTGATCTCAAACAAACAAAACACAGAGCTAACAAGCAGCAAACAAAAAACACAGAAAAAAACAGAGCCAAACAAAAGGCGAACAAAGCGCTGCCAAAGCCTAATTACGGGTTGTTATAACTTATAACTAAATGGAGCACAAACCACTTCGAAGGGCGGAGGTGTGCGTCACTTAAACGACTTGATATTTACACAAAATTTATACAAATTAATTAACCAATTAAGTGAGCGCAGAGCGGACAAGTTTGGTCATTAATCATACAGAAACCGATGACGATCCATGGCGCTAATGATGTGTGGTAAAAACTCAATTCAGAGATACTTTAATGGGTTTATTCAATAGAGTGATAGATGGATTACGACGATATTTGGGGAATTGTTGAAGACAAAAGAAATATTTAACCCTTGTTTGTGGGTTGTCTTATCTTTAGGTGAAGTTTTTATTGAATTTAATAAAGAATTTTCTGGGAAAAACTACGTTAACATACCCATTAAATAGACTTAAATGAGTATTTTCTTTACTAATTTTATAAGAAACAAATAAACATAATTAAGAAATCCTTATTAATCAATGTTTACCATTATTTAAAAACCCATTTATTTTAAAATTTCTCCTTAACTTTTTCTATAAGCAACTAATACAAATAAGAAAAGAATTCTTATAAACTAATATATATATTTATTTCAAGACCTTTTTCTTGTAAAATTTTTTCTTAACTTGAGAGGGTTAACCGTTTCTCCTCTAACTCGATCTTAGCCTTTATTCCGATGGCAAGACTGCAGGCAGATGGCGGCAAGTGGTTCCGCCGGCCACATGGCGTATGAGTAATCAGCTCGAAGCCTTTAGCCATTTATGGCACCCCATGCAGCCATCGATCGCTCAGCAAGCCAGCATCTCGCATCTCAGCTTGGACAACGAATTCGATTCAGCAATTGTTTGTTTGTTTGTTTATTCGCTGGTTGGTTTGTTTGGTTTGCCTGGTCTCTTGGCTTTCAGTTTCGATTCCGATTCCAATTCCAATTCCGATTCCGAGAGCTGGTTCTGCTGGCCATTATTTGGTGCCTTGTCACGCTGCTGCTGCAGTTGCTCGAGCTCGGTTTTGAGGATAGCCTGCGACCAAGTTGGGGTCGCAATTCTTTATTTGTATTCCGAGTAATTGTCGTTGCCGTCCCCGTCGTTGGCGGTGATGTCATCCGGCAGGTAGAAGTGTGTGCATAGAGGTGCCAGTGCCAGTGCCAGAGGTGACTTTTTTGCAGCAGTCATCGTCGCGAGCTGTGTGTCGTTGATGGATTCGTTTTGGGGCGAATCTCGGCTTGGATTGGATTGGATTGAATTGGCCAGTGGAGAGTTGTGGCGAAGTGGAGTGGAGTGGCGGCGGCTCTTGTCTTGGCCCGTTGCTGCGCATTTTGACCAAGTTTAGCCAAACTCAATTAGTCTTAACTGATGTTTCGGCTTGGGCTTTTTATAGAACCCAAACGCAAGAGTAGCAGGAGGCAGGGGTGGCCTATGGATTTCTGATATCATTGGGGTCAAGGCCAGCCAGCACCCAAGTGCCAAACCCAGTCCCAGAACCGATCCCGCCGTCTCGGCTGCTGCGCAATTCAAAGAAGAAAGCCGTGCACATAAATTCAGTTGGCAAAAAGGCATTCTCTGAAGTCTGGCTTCGATTCGGCGTCTTTAATTAGCACTGAAATTAAACTTTTTTTGTCGGTTTTTTCGCTGCTTATTCGGCGCTTTTTCCTTTCATTTGTCGCATTACCTGAACTCATCTCGTTGCGAGTCCCCAATCCCGGCCTGGGATCTTGCTGATTCCAGTTTCCAAGCAGCTCCCGTCGATCAGCCGCCGACTAATTCTTCTTTAAACAAACCGAGAAGAGGCGAAAAATAAGCTGTAGAGGCAACCGAGGCAGCAAAACAAATTCAGAAATCTTCATAAACACGCTAACGAAAAAGTTCTTTTGCCGGCGACCTTGGAAATTTCGTTTCATCTGCTTTGCGTGCTTCATTTTATGGCCGCCCCCTGGCCCTGCTTTATTTATTAATTCGTGGCCATTTGGGTTTCCATGGAAAAGTTTCAGTTCAGTTTACTTTGACTTTTTCTATTTGTTTTTTTGGGGCGATGCCCCAAAAGAATCTTCAGAATGCAAGTACCAGAAGCGAGACCATTTGCGCTCTCTAGCACGAGTATCTGCAGAATTGCGCAACCCCACAGTCACAGAAGAGATACTTACATACATATATCGAGTGCTTTGACTTCGTTTTCTCTTTTGTATTTTTGCATTATTTTGGTTTCTGCCGCGGCCCGCATTCAGCATACGCCCTGTTGCCCCGCCCCACCGCCTCCAATTGCGTCTGCAAAACACATTCGCAACGGAAAGCAGAAGTGGAATACCAAAGAGGCGAAAGAACACAGAGCACGCTCCTCATTGTGCCCGCCTCGGCGATGCCCAGATGCAGATGCAGATACGAGGCCGACGGCGGTCTAATAGATACAGATACAGATACACTTACACTTACAAACTGCGAGGCTCGCACGAAGGCAAATAGAAGCGCAGGCAACCGCCGAGCATTTGGATTGCAAGAATCGATGGCAAAGGGCGGGGGGTCTGGCGAAGGCAGCTTCTTGTACCAATTACTTAATTTAGCAATAAAATTGCAAAGAGCAGGGAACAGGGAATGGAGAAGGGAGAACGGAGAAGAGAGAACACAGAACCGAGCAGAGAGAATCTAGAGTCAGAGAGCAAACTGGCAGAAGAACGCGAATTGCATCTGCAAAAGTTGCATAACCACTGGCGGGGCAAATATGAGATGATAATGGTGGAATAGGGGGGTTTTAGGGGGTTGACTCTTTGGCCCCGCAGAAAAGAAGGCGCCGCATTCATGAAGCAAATGGGTCAGTGGTGCAGCGAATGGAAGTACCACCAGTAATAAGACATATTGCCAGCCTATGATAGATTGTTATCTATTAAATACTTAAACCCCACCTAGTATCTGCGTAGTAAGAGCTCTCTGGATCCCATGGATAACCAATTACCTGCAACACCCATATACCGACTCATTTCTTCCCCGGAAACCCTCTCCCCTTTTCTCTCAGAACACTTATATGGTATGATTTAGTGCCGCCGCCACTGACTTGGCTGAGTTATTAATTAGCAACGGAGCTGGGTGAGTGTGTGTGTCCTCTCTTCCCCGCCCCAAGCCCGTGGGCGTTTTCGGATGAGCTGAACTGAGCTGAGCTGGCTGCACTTGACTGATCTCCCAACGAGCTGCGTCCTCCCCTCTCGAGATTTTCCCCCTGTGAGTCAGGCGGCTAATATTCGCGATCGTTTTGGGGGCCTTGTCAAAGGTGAGTAATAAGCGGGGAGCTCGTATATGGCCCGGTGGATGCTTCCACAGAAAAACGCCAAGTTTCGAGGCAAATGTTCACCTTGAACTTGGCCAGACAGCGGACCGAAAGAGAGAGACGGCGGAGCTAACTACATATTTGAATTTGAATTTTCCTATCTATTTCCCTTTGAGTCTCCTCTTTTTTTTGCAGTTGCATTGCGCTGCTGCTCAGCGAAGCTGAAAATATTTAAATGCTGAAAACAAATGGTGGCTTTTTTAGCGGCAGCTGCTAAACAAATATGAATGCGAAATGTGTGTTTGGCGGGGCCTGGGACTCACCCACGAACCCCGACAATACTGCTGTTGATGATGATGATGACGATTTTTGTTGGCCTGGCCAAAAAGCAGAACCACAAGCGACAAAGTAATTACGTCGACAGAGGGGTACAGGCAGAGACAGAGAGAGAGCTACAGCAGGTTATGCAAGTTCAAGGCCAAAAACTCTGCATTAATTATAATTATTTTTGCATTTGTTAAACGCAGAGAGGCAGCCGCAGCAGCAGCAACAACAATGAGCTCGTCGCTGCCTGTTAATTGTCTGGGCGAATGCAAAAGAAGAAAAACAGGTAAATGCAGAATTTGTTTTTGCTCGAATGTGGTAATTAATTGTGGCCAGCAATCGATGGCTGAGAAATACCCCCTTAAAGCCCACGGGGGTTAATGCCACTCAAAAGAATTGAACTTCCCCCGGGGGACCTGTAACTGACTCAAGTCTCCCTCTTTTTGTACCCATTAAAGACTGAATCAGCTTGTGTTTTAAAGCCAACACTTGGACTCTAATTTTTATCACCCTGTTTGTACACAACAGAGGGGAAAAACGGAGGAAAAACAATCAAAACAGCACTTGTAAACCAAAGAAGCACGTTTGTTGCAGTTATACTCCAGGGAAAGTTCTCTTTTTTACACAAAACATGGGCACGTAATTTCGGTTCCACTTTAGTTATCTGTGAAATATATATATTTGGAACAAGAGCTGCGGCGTTATATTTTGCAGAATTTTGTGATAGCCGGATAAGTATACAGAGTGAATTCAATTTTCCTTTCATCAATAAGAAATATGTCAACTATGGCTATGGAGTGACTTAATAAATAAATTTAATCAGCTCTTTGCTGAATGAAAAATTTAACTTTTGGTTCAGTTCATATTTCAAGTGTTTAGTATTGGTTTCTTACAATTATGGCCTCTTTACAACTGTCTTATCTCATAATTCAGTCTGTGCTCTAGCAAGTCTTTGTCAACGTTGCGTATACGCAATGTTTCCCTATTGAAACACAGTCAAAATTTTGTGTATGTGAGCGAGTGTGCATAGCTGCCAGCCAACATACTTTTCCAATTATTTCTCCCACTCTTTAAAGCTTTTATTAACACATTCCATTTGGTGGCAAACTTTGTTTTCCTGATTTTAACCCTTTCTTCCTTTTGGCTGCTTGTCTGTTTATATTTTTCTAGGGAGTTTTATTCACAATTTAAATCATGATAATATTAAAGGACCCAACGCACACAGAAAAGCAAAAACATTTCTTGCTGAAAATGAAATTAAATGAGGAAAATGAAATTTAATGAGGAAAATATATATTTAAATTTAATGGAAATTTAACAGCTCATCCTGTGGCGCTACTTGCAACTTCTATTGGCTTTACCTTTATTTATTGTTGCTGTGACAGGGAAAATCATTTAAATTTAAGTCAAAATTTAAACGTGAAATTGTTTAATTACCCACATTTATTCGTGCATTCGAATGCGAGGCAAGTGAATTTGCATATTAATTGCAGTTCAATTGAAATAATTGATTGTTCAGTTCAGTTCGATTGAAATGAGGCAAAAGTCTGTTTGTTTTTTGATTGATTTGCCATTACTGAGATTACATAGACAATATGTGGGTTTTAGTACGGGTAATTAAATATAGATTTATACATTTAAATACATATAAGAGAGTTTAAACTCATTGAACATATCTTCAATAATAGTTAATAACTAAAACAAAAAACTTCGATCAAAGAATTTTAATCGAAAAGAACCTCAAGACTGCCTAACAGACCTTAAAGCCGCGTGTAAACATTTCCACTGATTAGACCTGAATAACATCATGTCCATATGATACGGAAATCGATTTAATTTTCCCCCGATAACCTTCTATTAGCCATAGTTATGTATAACTGGTTAACGCGTTTGGTTAAAGAGCGAGCTTCGGCAATTAACACAGAACGTTGGCTTGACCATGCGCTGGTCACATCCAATCGCATAAATATGCTAATTTATGTTTTCAGCGACCAAGTATATTCTAAGCCCCGATTCGATTCGTTTTTTTCCTCCTATTTTATTATTCAGCTAATTAGCATAAGTTGCGCGATTAGAGACATTTCGAGTTGAGTGTGGTTGCGTTTTATAAAAAGTAAAAGTAGTATTTTCTAAACGATGACGCAAGTTTAAATCGAAATAGAAATGGGTCAAGGTTGTTGGTGAAGCGAATAATGAAGTTCGGGATTTGGAACAACTGAGCTTTTTAGTTATAGAAGTTAATTATAGAATGTGACCGTTCAGCTAATGAATTAACAGAGTATTTAATTTATGTTGCGACTAGTTTAAATGCAAATAAAAAAGATAAGATATAATGGGGATAGTTTTAACATGGTTTTATTAATGTTTAATAAAGGTTTCTATATATACAAAGGTTTCGACATATTTTACACAATTTGCGCTTTTAAGCATTATTGAATGCTTTAATATACATTTCAATATTTGTTTATTCTTAATTATTTCTCTGGCTAAATCCTTATTATCCTAGCCTTGAATGAACTGGACTATTCTCTCTGCGGAGTCATCGCCGCTTCTATCCGTATCGTATCCAGAATTTCCAGCTGCATTGTTTCCCCAGTTGTTTCTATCATCGCCAGAGTTATCAAGTGATTCCAATCTCTTCAATAGATTATCAACATCGGAACTGTGGGCACTAAGACTCCTATCACTGCCATCGCCACCTGAGAATGATCTTCCTCCACCGATTCCTCCTATATTTATATTCTGAAATCCCGATTGAGCGATCGTTGTGTAGATTAATCCGCAGATCAGAAGAAGGCGGAGAATGGCTTGCATTTTGTTGTTTCCTTCCCAGAGCTCTGGACGCAGTTGACTGAATGTCAGAATGCTTTCGAGTGGTGCTTTTATAGCCTAGCCTGGCTCTTGGGTTATCAGACGCTTGCGTTGATCTACATAGTATAAATGCACAGAGGTTATTAAATAATCATTGAGGTGAGAGCGGGAAATTCCAGCTAATGCCAACGTTCCTGATTACCACAATCATATTATTGATACGTTAGGCGAGTCTCGGTTTTAAGCGCTTGTTATAAAGAAATATTTTAAAGACTGGGGAATACCAAGATAAATAATTTTCAATATCAAAATATCTCAACAAAGGTATATTTCGTTTCTTTATTATTGCGTAACCATTACTCATTTAAATATGTTTACAATGGTAACTTATGGATTTCAATCCTCGGACCCAAGATTTCCTCTTCAGAATTGTAGTCGCCACTTGAGTGATCCGTCCCGTTGTACTCCTCCTCCCAGATCTGGAGCATTGCATCCATTTCATTCATGAACTCTTCGGCACTGTTGTTCCCACTGCCAGAGGATTCCTCCAATTCAATCCAGTCGTGCGGATGGGCAGCAATTAGCGCCGCCCAAATGATTCCGACCAAGAGGAGCAGCGGAATGATGTGGCTCTTCATGTTGCTTGATTATTTGCTTAACTGCAACTGCAGTTTCCAATTGTAATTTCTTTCGTTTTTATACGGAACGAAGGGGTAGTAAGTCGCGGCGATAGCTTAAGCGTAATTCTGGAAAATCCAGTCTGGGCTAAGCCCGTCAGTTGCTGACCGATTTCCTCATACATATTCCAGGCTGTAAGTGACTCAGCCACCATCGGTCCAAGTAATGTCAGTAAAAAAGCATCGCGCATACGACACGTTGCTGCCAGCGGTTAGACAGTCATGCAGATTAGTCTATGCTTTAAATGATTTTTTAATTAAGTTGTTATTAATAGGTAAACGTTTTCAATAAAATATGCAGTTGATTTAAGCCTAAGAAGCTTGATTTTTTATACCCTTGCGGGTATTATAATTTCAGTCGAAGTTTGCAACGCAGTGAAGGAGACGTTTCCGACCCTATAAAGTATATATATTCTTGATCAGCATCAACAGCCGAGTCGATCTAGCCATGTCCGTCTGTCCGTCTGTCTGTCTGTCCGTCTGTCCGTCTGTCTGTCTGTCCGTCTGTCCGTCTGTCTGTCTGTCTGTTTCTCGCAAACTAGTCCCTCAGTTTTAAAGCTATCTGAATGAAACTTTGCATATAGTCTTCTATATGCTCACTGCTTATATGTCGGAACGGGCCGATCGGACGAATATATCATATAGCTGCCATACAAATGTTCGATAAATTTTTAGAAAAAAATTATAACTTAGCTGTTTTTCAACATATGTGCACTATTTTTTAGATATGACCATTTTATATTATTTCTGAATTTTGGTAAAATTTTATGAAAATCGGACGACTATATCATATAGCTGCCATAGGAACGATCAGGAAATTAGTAGAAAAAATTATAACTTCGTTGTTTTTTAAACTATTTTTATCTACTCTGAGATATAGCTTATTTTATTAGTTCCGAATTTTGGTATAAACTTTATGAAAATCGGACAACTATATCATATAGCTGCCTATAAACCGATCGGTAGGTGTGGGCAAATGTAAAACTGGGAATGTAAAACTGTAACTCTCAAACTCTCAACATAATAAGTATAGGTAAAATGCAATGAAATAATATCTGCAGGTTACAAAATTGCTGAAGTTAGTTCTTTCTTGTTTTAGTTTACATTCCTTAAATCACAAAAATGTAATATAACCTAATCCTTAAGACTGAGAACCTATTCTTAAGGCAACTGTTTTATGAGTCACCCTTGTGGGCAGGCTATAAAACAAAAAAAAAAACACAGCGAAGCATAGACCAGTCGTGGGATGCTGCCGGCAACCCCTAAATGACTTGGCTACGAGTACATCGAGCACTTCACTCCGCTTCGTTGCCTCAATCCCCCTTCGGCTCCTCTGGCACTTTATTCAATTTTCCAAAGCGCGCGCACAGCTACATACCTCCTGTTTCAGACCATCCCCGTCCGCCGCCAAAAACCCCTGCTGAAACATGCAATGTACTCACGAGGCTAATGCCCTTTTATGGCTTTGGAGTGTGCCGCATCAGCAGAACGTTGCAGCAGGCTAGGCAACCTCCTAACCGCCATGCGAACACGACCATTAGGTGGGGGCCACCAGACTCGATTCGTGGTGCTGTGCAGCAGCTCATTATACCACACACACACACAGGGAAAACCCACTGACTGCTCTGTGAATATGTCCCACACATTTGCATCATCCTTATTGGAGTCTGAGACCCTGTGCCATAGAAGTCAACGTTTGGCTTTTACTTAAATCGCTCACACCGATTTGCTAAACGATTTTTACACTTTCAGTTTCGGTATTTCGTTTTATATACAGAAGAAAATGCTGTTTTTAACGAAGCAAGAACTTGGTATCTATGGTCATCACAAGTATATACAGCTTTTACTTGCTGGTTTTTAAAATAAACAAAGTTTTACATGTAATTTCTCATTACGTTGAATCATTAATACTTTTAATATTATATTCATTTAATTTAAATTATTTTTAACCTCCATAAGTATTAAATTCTTCTCTCATCAAGCTCCTTTATCCAATTTGTTCAAGTTCAAGCGTCCAAACAAGAAATTGGCATGCCAAAAGCGTCTAAAGCTAAGCTCGTTAATGATATCTAATTGAAATACATCATATTTTTTATTCAACTGCATCAGCCGTTCAAGAATCTCTGCATTCCAGCGACGCAGCTACAAATCAAACTCGATTTTCAGTGTGGTTCCTAAGCCCACATAAATACTGGACTGTAGAACCTTAGCAAGTGTCATAAAACGAAAGAGAGAAAAAAAATCCACAACTGAAATGGCCCACGCACTCCGCCATATATGTATGACAGGCAGTCGTCAAATTAACATTTCAGTCACACAGTGACCTTCACCTAGAAGCCATCAAAGCGTACCCAAGCGGCCCAGCCCTAGCCCCAAATCCCAAGCCTCAAGCTCCGACGGAAACTGAAGCCAAAGCCAAAACCAACTTTAACGCAACGCGACCAAAAACCGTACATATAAAAACTAAAGACAATAAACAAAAATAAAATATAAAATGGACAAGGAACAAGCCTAGGTAAAGACGAAGTTGGTACACACTTCGATTTATAGCAAAACTATATTTTAAAGATTAATTCAAAATAAAATTAAAAATTATTTAAATTTGACTGTTTGGCATACACTTTTATTTATAATATAAAATATTTTTGACTATGAACAATTGAAAAAATATGGCATAATTTATAGATAGCATTAAAAATCTATTGTTTGTGGTAAGTATTGAAAACATGAACTTTAAAAGCACTTTCCATATAATACATTTGTTAACCATTATTTAATTAATTATTTAATTAAACTTCATTTTTTTTTAAACCCTTAAAACAAGGTGTATTCCCCCTCAGCAAGGGCATAGAAAATATATTAAAAAAAAAAAAAGACAAAACCGTAGCTGGCTTTTGCTCAGTCGGTCGCGTAATTTTGTTTTTGGAGCCACTTGATTAGCACGCTCTGAGCCATGTTTAGACGTGGGCTGTTTAACCAAACGGCAGCCACTATACACCCGACCTGGCCGCCGACCAATCCGTCGTCCAATCCCATGGCAGCAACAACAAGAGCACCGATATTGGCGGCGAGCAGAATTCAGCTAAAGACCGCACTAAAGACTTTGACGCAAAAAACGTGCGAGTACGTGCCGCTGATTAGTAAAACAAACAAATTAAATTGGTTTCTGCTCCAGCCTGTTTTTTTCTTTTTTTTTTTTTTTTTTTGTATTCGCTTTCGGCTTTGGGCTAAGAGCTAGGCCAAAAAAGAGCAAGCCAAAGAGAGTTGTTAGGGTTTCCAAAGAGAAAAATGAAAGCTAAAAGCAAGGGTTGAAGGCATCACTTGGTGGGACAGATGTTAAAATATTTAACTTGATATTAGCAAACAATATTATATACTGTTTTTTATATATTTTTTACCAAAAAAAAGCATATCTATGAACAAAATTCAATTTAGGGGCACACGACTTGTTCAAACAAATGGGTATAAATATAATTAAAACTTGAGCAAATATTTATAAGTTTAAGAGTCTTTCAGCTTGGGATTATTCCACTCCAAGTTAACCTTAATCCAGTATCTATAGGAGACTAGTGGCTAAATCCTACGATCTACCACATAAATAACCACTTCCTGACGACTGACCACTTCCGCATCCTTTTTGAAGGTTAAGACATACTTAAAATAACCGCGCGGCATAGCAATTGGCCAAAGCTCCGGCTTAATTGTAACATCCTTTACATAGTATTGGCCCTTCGGTATGGGACAAGGGTGACTCTCGAAGGGCATATCCGTTTTTTCGCCATATGGAATGCTCGCTTTTACATAAAACCAGAAGCCGGCGACGGCCTTGCAAACAGACTGCTGGGGCACAAAGAAAGGCATTTGCTTGAAGTGACCACTGCCAGAGGCATCGTTGTAGGTCTCAATGCCCACAGTATGGTGAACGTTGTCTAAATCTTCCTTGATTGTGACTGTGCCATTGACTCGGTGCTCTCGGCCCAATAAACGAATGCGAAAGTCCCACACGGAGGGACGCGAAACTTGCCTCGTAGGACATTTTAAAGGGCTGGGAAATATAATTTATTTAATAGGCAAGTTACTTCATTTTGAAATATCCTACAAACGCCTGGTTTAGCAGCATTAGAGTCAGGTATATCCTTAATCCCAGCATGGTTAGTTGGTGAACACAAAATAAAATTATTATAATGGCAAATTTTGGAATTAGATTTGATATTTATACTAAATTTGTTGGCCATTATATTGTTTAAAATATATTAATTGCATGTCAAACGTGATAATTAAACATTGTAATAATATAAAACACAAAAAGATAAGAGAAGAATACTACACAAACCGAATTTTAAATACACTTTCAGCTTAAACAAATTTTTAAGACAATATGTCGGCTCAAAGATGTGTTTCAACTTAAATTAAAAATTTAAAAATGAATATAATATATATTAAATTATATTTCAAAATAAAGAAATACAAGCTTATTTACTATTGCAAAATAATTTAATTTTAATAATTTAAATGATTTAATCTACAGCTTGCTTTGTTGTGTGTGTTATTGTTGTGTTATTAATTTGTACGATGGCATCATGTCAATGCAATGGCTCTAATCTTGTCAAATGGACTTGTTATGCGAACTAGTTAATATTAATATTAATAAATAAAAGATTAACTCATTTGACCATTGATTTGATCTCTGCGACCACTACTGGTCTTGGCTTATTGGCCATTGACAGGCTGACACAGGCACCTGTGGCTCGGAGAGACCTATGAAGCCAAATGAATATTTATATAAGAACGAATTGCATTGTCATGAGTAGGCAAACCTCTGGCGCATTCTTGGCTTTATGGCCTGGTACGTGGAAAAGGGTGAAGAGGGGGAAGAGAGGGAGAGTCAGTCAGGTGGCTTGTTAATCCAAGCCAAATCAATATGCAGGTCGCGGCTTTGACTCAATTCTTATTTTGCTCGAGACGTCATTATAAACCGCAGCGTTTTCGGTACAGAAACTGAGGGGGTTTGCTTGGGCTAAGCCCATTACTGGACACCAGTTGGATAACTGCTGGCGATGCTGGTTGCTATTACACTGGACAAAATACATGTTTCAATAAATCTAGGAAAATATTTAAGGAAGTCAGAAGGGTTCAGCTCTTGGAAACATTTTATATTAGCTATTCGGCTTGAATTAATTAAAAAAAATGTATTTCACAATTTTTTTTTGTTCAGTGCACTGCTCCCTCTGCTGCATTGTTCTCGGTGGCGTTCTTAACGAGCGCAGCATGCAAAACAAGGCGCAAGACGCCATTTGGCCAACACACACAGAGGGAATCGCAGAATCGTTTTTATGGCCGATGCGCCCCTTGCATGATAATCGAGCCGGGTGCCCAGTGCCAGTAGCTGTTCCAATCCCAATCCCAGTCCCAGTCCCAACTGGGTGACACTGTGACTTTGCCCTGTCCCTCTGTGAGTCCGTTCTGCTGTCTGATTGTGCGCACGCGTTCATAATCAAAGAGTCTTCCCCTGCCAATCTGATTCACCCTTCGGCCGGCGCGGCATATTATGATGGATGGAGCGTTGGCGAGTGATTCGCCTTGACGTTGATGCGCCATCAAGGAAAATTATTGCGTGCGCGCAATTAAAACTAAAATAAAGTTGCAAAAATATGAATCCAAATTTGCATGCCGCCATACATGTGGCAGCAAGTGCTTTAAATATCTGGACAATGCAGTCGCTTCACTCGAATGACTCAGTCAGGCGGTCCAAGTCGGAGCTTGAGTAATTTTAAATTGACTGCCGAAATGGCTCGCAAGATTTTTGGGCTTTAAAGATACAATACAACAAGATACAATTTGTGTGGTAAAATCTTACAGAAATCTCTTAAGAGCTTACTAAATCTTATAGCCCACAAGCAAAGCTCAAGTTTTCTAGCGAGGTCCTTAAATTTTATATATAATAACGTAATTATAAATTTAAAATGTTTGAAATTATACCTTTTTCTTTAGACCACCACTTATTACCACTCATTTTAAAGAAGCGTAAATATATCACAAAATTTCTTATAATTCTTATTTAATATTTGCATTAATTTCCATACTTTAAATTTGCAAATTTAGAAAGACACTTTAACAAAAAATAAACACCTCAATAAATAATCTACACCAAAAGCACACTTTACTTTAATTTATTGACTACCTTTTGTAGTAGTTTTCAAAAGAATACATATGTAACCTTTTTTTTAAAGGGTTGCCATATTTGTATTTAAGTTTGAAATACCTTATTTTCCCCGTTTTCATATCCAGAACTCTATTTGTTTTCACTTTTCCATTTAATATTCCATTCCATTTAATTGGGGTTTATCATTCACAAAGGATTTTGGACCATTTTGCCTCTTTTGCCTGTGAAATTCGCCTCATTTAACTATTTACTTTGCGGGCTTTAATCTGCTCACGTTTCAGTTGGATGGAGCACTTTAAATGTGAAACATTGTGCATATTGTGCAATCGGATTTTATGCTAAAGCTTTAATCCATTGCTGATTCAATTTGTTGTATGTATTGTAAATGTTGATACCTTTCTGCCAACTAGCTGGGCAATGAAGCGTTCAACTTTGGCTGCCTTTTTGTTTTCGTTTTCAAATTTATATAGGTTGTATTTTTAATGCCACCGTGACGCATGGGGAAAAATGTTTCCCTTTATTCCGAGAGGCAGGATGGGGACAGCCCCAAAAACCCCTTGGACTGCGGCGCTTAACGGTGACATTGTTGACATATCTGGACACTTGGATCGCGTCGCAGCAGAGCGCCACGATATGTGAACGGTTCCATTTCATATATGTATGAGGGTTGTGTACGAATTTGGTGTTTATTTGCCAGATTCGCTGCTTTTGAATTTATGGCCAGGCAGGGAGTGGGATGGAACTGTAAAGGACAACTGACAAACAAGCCTGAAATGCTGTCAGTGATACTTAATGGCGGAGGAGACGAAAAGCTAAGAGTGTCAAACATAATTTATTCAGGTAAATGCATGTATTAGTCTAAGAGGAAGTAATGTATCATGTTCAAAATGAGGTAGTAGGACTACCTTTAAAAGAAGTAAATATTAATAGGAAATAAATAATACATGAAACATGGATACTAGCCTTAATTTTCAGGCATAATAAACCAGGGAAATACTTTTTAATAACAGTCTACTCCATAAGCAAACATTTAAGACACAAATTTCTTCCTTAAGTTTATGTTTTCTATATTTACCAATGGCTTTTCCTGGAAACTATTTATTTGTTTACCTGCCTTAGCTCTAAGCTTGTTTCAATTATTCATCTTCAAATTGAATTAGATCCCAGAAACCAGCAGCTATCGCTCATTCAAGTGTGTCATACACACAGAACACACATTGAAAATTTACATACCTAAACATGCTATGCAAGCAATCAAATTATAGAGCAATTTGAGATAAGTCCGAGCAACGTTTTCGGCTGTCAATATTTCATATTATTATCGATTTTATATACATATACCCAAGTGCGCACACGAAAGCGAGAAGCAGTGGCAAATCATAACACATTCTGGCCTGGCCTGGGCCACTAAAGATGGATATCTGACAAAACATATTGCCGCAGTAACAATATTTTGCTTTCCAGGCCAAGCTCCAGCGACTGACTGACTGACTGGCTGAGTGACTGACTGCCCCACTGACTAACTGACTGGCTGACATCAAAAACTGAGGGAATACTTTGAGGCTGTTTATCGCAGACATCAGAGAGCAGCAGCCTTAGTTTCTCGGCATCAACAACAACCACGGCCCAAAGCCGCAGGCAAGCACGCGTTCTCCAAATATTTATGAGCCGCAAAAACAGAAGGAGGAGGAGGAGGCCAAGGAGGTGGGAGTACTGAAGGAGGAGTGCTGGAGGCAGGGAACTGGCATTGGCCAGGGGGAATTCGGGCAAGTGATTTACCGAGCTGAGCTTCAAGTAGCCGGAGCAGCTGTCAATCAGGCTGCAATCAGCCTCCACTTTAAGCCTATAAAAACGTCTGCAGTTAGCGGTAAAGCAAAGCCAAAACCCCAAAAACCCACCGAAAATCAACCATCAAAAAATATTGTATTGTATGTAAACCGTGTACAAAAAGTAAAAGTGGCTTACGGTAAAAAACAATCCAACATCCAACAGCGAGAATTTCATATATTTCATATAGCGCCGCCGCACCCAGAAATCTCCATGAAATGGAGACGCGTCCGAAGTGTACAGAGACAATTAGTGACCTCAAAAACGTTTTGCAGTTAAAGATTTTGTTTTTTTTTTTTTCTTTTACTCTGCAGTTGATCTTTTATGGACAATCTTGGCGAGGAGACCCTATAATATCTTGGTCGTCGACTGCATTTAGTTAATGAGATCTTAAACATTGGCGGACCCGGGATTTTCACTTCCTTTATAGCAAACAAGACGTGATCGGAGAGAGAGACTCAGCCTCAAATGTGTTGATTGGCTCAAGGAGGAAATATATCTTTTCATTTGCACAGTTGCGGTGGAAATAATAGCAGTAGAAATATATATTTGTTTTTTTTTTTTAATTTTGGTGATTAAAGGAAAGCAAAACGTCATAGTCTTAACTTTCGAGCTAAAAAAATTCTTCTGTAATAATTTTCAGACAATCAATCTTTATATTTTGAGTTCATATTTGGAAATTTTACAGCTTAAATACATTTGCTTTTCATAATTATTTAGCTTTCTTTAGGCTTTTGTCATACAAAACCAGGCAAAAAACTGTTAACCTAATTTGTTTAAACAAAAACGCACAGCAAATAGGTAATTTATATTATATATACCTCAAATTAAAATACAAAAACAAAGACTATAAACTTGAATGCTATTTTTCCCCACTTAGCTGTATTTAAAGGGTGTGGCTGGGCTCTTGGTTTCCCCGAAGAATGGTCATCCAATTTGGGATATTGGTCACCCTGACAATTTCTACCTGGCCAACAAAAATATATACATTTTTATTTATTTGTATATCTTTTTCTTATTTTGCAGACCTTCATTGCGGCCTAACGCAAATAAAATCCAATCCCCAAGCAAATTGGTGAGTGTTTTTGTGTGTGTGTGTGTGTGTGTATTTCTTTTTTCAGCTTTTTTCTTTAGGCCAAAACACGAAACTAAACTGTCAATTGATGT